GCTTTTCCCTTGAAGCTTGTTGTTGAGTCTCCTGCTTTTCACAATTGTACACACAGCTTTACAAGCTATATTTTTTGGAATGGTGCCAAAAAGCACCCACAAGGAAAAAGGCTGCTGGTGCTAACTAGGCAAGCACTAAGTCACGTCAAATAAAGACAAACTGTGGTAGTGGGGTCTCCCAGAAGAGTGCAAGACAGGTCGAATGGTGACATTCTGCTAGCGTGGGACTGCAGGGAAGAGGGGGGTGAAAGCCTGTGGAGCCAACACTGGTGCCACGAGAACCCCAGCGCCCAGTTAGAACAGAAGTGGAAGAAACACCACGCATGGTAGATGCTGTGTCCCTGGTAAGCCTGGCAATGCTGGCATCCTGAAGACCTAGGCCAAGGGGCCTGTAGGCTATAGGGCTTATCACCTACACCAGACTACTGCTTGCTGGGCAGCAGTCTCAGCAACCAATAGCGACAGGGAAGGATCCAGGTCAGGAACAGTAAAAGCACGCAAGCACCACATGACCCATGATAGAAATTGTCAAGAATGCATTTCATTTATCCTCTAGGCAAAAAGTTAGAAATATATCTAAGGAAAACAGGATCTTTCTGGGGCATCTGCAGGGCCACAATAGCAGTGAGTTGAAAGCTAAAATGAAATGTTCATAATTCTTGTTGTCAATGTGACTTCTTGTGAAACTTCAGATTTCTGTAGACTTACAAAAAGTAAATTATAGATGTACTTCCTGAGGCTCTCGGGCCTCTGCTCACGGTCAGGACGATTTTATCTACCCTGTAAAGTGTAGGTAGGAAATAGGTTTTCTACACAAGCACCTGCTGACTTAGGTAAAGACAGTGTGAAGTGATAAGCAATAAACAGGAAATGTGTGTGGCTGCAGGAAGAGAAGATCCACGCTGCTCATAGCTAGATGTTTTTTCTTTGAGACAGGGTCTCATTACGTTGTTTAGACTGTATTTATTTTTCATTTATGTATTTGGTGCAGGGTCTCACTATGCAGCTCAGATGTGTAGTGATCCTCCTGTTTTCAGCCTCCTCAGTGCTGGGATGACAGGCGTGCGCCACCAGGCCCGGACTCTGTTGCTGGTTCCGCGCAAGCCCAGGGCAGGGCCAGTGTGGCATGCAAGGCCCGGGATCGAACCCTGGACCCTGTGTTTGCCAAAGCAGGCACTTAGTCCACTGAGCTGTCTCGCCAGCCCCAGACTGTCTTTCAACTCACTGTGTAGCCAGGTTGACCTTGAACTGGCAGTGATCCCCCTTCTTCATCCCCCCAAGCGGTGGAGTTACAGGGGGAGGACACCATGGCTGGCTCACAGCTGGATTTTTATACCAGTCTCTGGACTATGTCCTGTTTTCACAGGATAGAAAAAGAAAAAAGTTAAGTTTCCCAAATTTTCCCCTCCCTGAGGCTGTTTTCTTGTTGTTGTTGTTGTTGTTGTTGTTGTTGTGTGTGTGTATTTTAGGGAAAGGTCCATGGGGTATTCAGGGTCTCACTACTAGATTGGATTCATAGTGATCTGCCTGTTTACAACCTCCCTAGAGCTGGGATTACAGGTGTGTGCCACCATGTCATCTCAATTGCCCTCTCAGCACGGCCTGGGGGTGGAGCCAGCAAGACAGGCCTGGGAATCAAACCTCTGGCCCCTGAGCCTGCTTGAGGGTGCTTTAATCTGCTGAGCTATTTGGCTGGCCCTCTCTGTTCTTTTTTAATTATTATTATTTGTTCTAATACAGATAAAAGCAGTAACTTTTGTCCCTACAAGTAAAATTTTATAATATCCTGTTCCCATAGCATCCTTTTATGCCCGAATAGGGCCACCAAGATACAAAGCTGTCACAACTTGATAAACTGTCTTTGTTCTCCTTCTGTCCACTCACCAGTTCCACACCAAAGACCCACCTCTGTGACCAAGTGTGTAAGGGCTGGAGCCTGCTTTTGTCCAGAGCTCAGCTCTTCTGGACAGAAGCCTTCCTGTTTCCCACTTGGTTTCACTAATCTCTGAAACTCTGCAACACCATGTCTATTCTCAGAAATGTGGCCCTAAAGAGCACTGTCAGAGGACAGGCCACGAGGGCTCCTGATTGCTTGGTAGGGCGAGCAGTGAGCCAGCAACAGAAGCCAAGCCCATGGTTTCATGAGATGCCAGTTGTGATGATGGTGTGGGGAGGTGAGGGACTGCTCTGGGTTAGTGGCAGTCCCTTCCACTGGAGGTAGGAGGACAAGAACTCCTTGTCAAGTGGCCGTGGGATTCACTGGAGAATTCAGTTGCTTGGACATGCCACAGAGCAAGGGCCATCACCCAGCCTACAATGTTGTAGGAACTCAGCCAATCTTTATAGCATGCTCTATCTTTTCGTAATCAGGAATTATCTTAAGATAAACCCTCCACCAAAACTAGGGTCCTTTGCACGTCTTTCTCCATGCAGGAAGACAGAGACGTGAAATGAGAAGATGGCTATGAGGCAGAAGAAAGGCAGCGTCCCCTGGAAACGCGCACCGTCCTGGTGCACCAGCAGAGCAGGGCGCAGTGGGAAGTGGAGACTGCTTCCTTAGAAGTTGTTTCTTCCAGTCTCTGACTCAAAGAGATCCACAGCTCTGGACGTCCTGCAGTATGTGGCTTCGATTGTATGCATGAAGGCATTAGGTCTCTCAGCATCAGTACCGCTGACATTTGAGGTCAGGTCACCCGGGGTGAGGGGCTGTCAGTAGCTCTACGATGCCCATGGGCATCCCTGGAGCTTACTCTTCACATGTCAACAGCCCCTACTTCCCCCAGGGACAACCAGACTGTCTCCAGGAAGAATCAAACATCCAGGTGATCAGCATACTGGTGGCCTTGCTGAGGTACATGTGGTGGAGAGAGTGGAAGATCAAGTCTGGCCTGCCAGCTCAGAGAGGTGTCCTTAGTGAGGGTAAGTTCCCCTTTCTAGGATGCATCAGTGACCTCTGCATGGTGCTGCGTCCCCAGGAGGAAGAACACTTTGAGAACCAATAGGCAGAAGAGGAGAGGCCATACCCACCACGATTTCCAATTCCTCACTGCAGGGCTCTGAGTTGCTCACTTTGAGTTTAGAGCCAAAGTCATGCTGTCCCCAGGAGGCTCCTAGCCTCTGGTAAGCTCAGCAGAGCTACCGCCATCTCCCTGGTGCAGGCCTAGGCTCGCAGTCTGCCCCAGCGCTCCCTGCGGAGCGAGCCGGCACAGGCTTCCTGAGCTGCCACTCTTCTACAGCTGCCAGGTTGGCAGCACAGCCCAACTTTCCCCGCCTGATTTTGCCTTCAGTAAACCTCTTCCTCCCCTATTTCTCAGCACGGGCTTTTCAGAGCACCTGGCAGGGCAGGTCGCTCCCCCCTGAGGAGTGAGCGGAAAACAATTCGTACACTATCCTGCCTGGGAGTCGCGGCCTCACTGCGTAGCCTGTGTCTCCCCTGCCCAGTGCAGGTCCCAGGGACACCTGCTCAGCCACACGTGACATTCTAGCATTTGTTCCTGCCTTCAACCAGGAGGGCAAGGGCCCAGAGTGCCTTCCATACTTATTCTTCCCATATCCCTAGTTCTAACATCGGTTCTATTCATTGGTCTTTTCTCTAATGAAATACCCAGTACAGGCCACCCATAAGCCACAGGGGCCTGCCATGCATGTAACTGTCATTCATTTCAAATGTAAAGACTTTGCCTGTATCAATATACCTTGTCTCTCCATGGCCAGAAAAAAAAGAAATCAGAAAGAGAATGCAAATTCATAATTTTATTCACCATTCGATGGAACTCAATACATTTATATACACAGTTTCAGGAAATGCTCATTTTAAGAAGTATGAGACACCTACAGGCATTATTATTAATCCACACTCTTATAAACAAGTTAGTCTAGATGGTAAGTAAATGTTTTCAGGGAAAAAGATAGTGGATAACATAGAATCGTGTCATAGCTCCTGTCCTTGAAGCATGAAAAATGTGCTTATGATTGAAAATGTCCAAGTCCTTATCTCCTTGGGAAAAGAGACAATAGTCCTCATTCCATAGGCCACACACCTCAGGGCAGCTTCCCAAAGAACCTGCTGAGCATGGGCAGCACACCCATGTCGGAACCAGGAAGCGAGCTTGCCCACGGGGTCAGAAAGGAGGAAGCTGGAGTTACGATGCCCGCCAGCCCGGCCCTGGGTGCTCTTGGGCATCTTCATGAGTCAATCTACAGTAAGTGCCAAGGGTGTTTAAATCATTATTACTTGGTTGTTTGGCTTTTAACCTATTTATCAGTATTTATAAATTTTTTAGAAGGCAGAGGGGAGTGCAATGAAGTTTCTAACAACCTCTAAAGGAAATACAGAATGAAGGTTAAATTCTGTAAGATGCTCTAATGTGGAATTTAGTACTCTTCTAATGTTTGTTCTGGTCTGTCTCACTGGGCTGGGTGGCAATAAATCTCTTCAAACTTCAAAAACTTATTCATTTTCTTGAGCAGAAGGAAGTGGGGACTGAGTCCTGCTTTACATCAGGCACAGAAGGGGAGGGTAGAAGCGGGCGATACCACATGAGGAGAGGAGGCCAACTCTGAGCCTGAGCTGCAGGAAGCCAGGAGGGAGGGTGGCCGGGCGCAGAGCAGCCTGCACCAGCCATGCCCAGGCGTGTGCTGGTCACTGTGCTGCTCTCCGTGCCTGGACCCCACCATTGCAGTGCAGCTACCTGAACTCCAAGGCCACGGCTGGCGTGGGCCCTGGCCGCGGGGTCTCTCCTAGCTCCAGCAGAACCAGATGCTTTCTTTCAGGTCCTCTGCCTCATTCCCTCTTGGTTCTTCACAGTCCACTCTTCCCTGCCCCCATCTGACCATTTATTCACCCACAAACAGCCCCCATCCCCCAAGGTAGGATTCACAAACCTCTCACGCTGTCAGAGCTATGGGCTTCCTACCATCCCGCTAGTCCTCCAATCCCTGCCCCCTCCCTGGCTGGCGCTGCTCCTAACATGAAGAGACCCAAGTTTTCAGCTACCTACTTAAACTCGGTTTTAAAAGGCCTTATGAATGTTTCATAGCCGTACTTTTTCTGAACATTTTTAATTAGATGTCTGACAGTGTACCACGCAAAGGGATACCGCGACCCCTCCTGACTCTTGCTCAGGTCATTGGCTTTCTTCAGAAGATCTTTCACCTGGGCCTTCCGGACTTGGTCAGTCCCTCTGTTATTAAAAGCACAAACTGGCCAGTTGTGTTTTTTAATGAGACGCCTAAGGGCTTTGTTATCTGTGTTCTCAACGTAATCTTCAATCTTCTCACCCTTGAGATCTTCCTCCCTTGTGAACAGCACAATCACGCGTCTCACAGCATCCTCCCCAAAGAGGCTCTCCAGGTTCGACACAGCTCTTTCATCCTCTTGAGTGAAATGTCCGAGCTGGAGCACCACAACGAAGATCTTGGCTCCCTTCTCACATAGAAATAAGCAGCGCTGGACTTCTCCCTCTACCCAGGAGCGCTCTTTCTTCACACCAGACAAGAAGGACGGGGTATCCACCACCACAATGTCTTGCCCGTGCAAGGTCGTCCTGCCACGCAAGCATGTCTCGGTGACCGGCTGGGAGTGGAGTTTAGAGGGGAAGACCTGCCTCCCTAAGAGAGTGTTTCCAGTTGCACTCTTGCCTGTCCCACTCCTTCCCACGAGGACAATGTTCAGGGTTTCTGTGCAAAAGAAATTGAGACTGATTGGTGACCATGGACTGGCACAGAGCTCCTCTTTCCGTGTCATTCCCAGGATAGCGTGACAACGTTGTGCAAAGACGGTGCTCAAGACACAAAGGCAGCATCTGGCTCTCCCAGCCAGCCTGTCTCCACTCAGGGGCTGGCTTGACCCGGCTCACACAGTTGGACCCCAGCAGGGGGACAAGGGACAGTCTATCCAGCACTAGTCTGTGAACACAGAGCCCTAAACGTGCTCCGCACACTGAGGCCTTCCTCTGACTCCCCAGCACCTGCGAAAGCCACTGGCCTTGCCTTGCCTCCACCCTCTAGATCCAGTCTATTCCTGTCACTTTGGTCTGCTATTTCTGTCATATCGATGGCTAGCCCCGGCCTCTCCGATGGACTTGGAAAGCTCTTCTCCAGAATGGGATTTTCATGACACAGTAACTACACATGCCATCGATAGATCAGCAAGCCTTTTGCTTGGTTCATACTAAAATTCATTCCTCATTAAGTCACATTGAAGCCAGGCATATCTGTACATGCCTGTAATCCCAGATCTCCAGGAAGCTGAAGAAAAATAATCCAGGTTTAATCCCAGGACTGGACAACTTAACAACTTAGAACCTGTTTCAAAAACTAATACAGATCTAGAGTTCCATGTGAAGGCACTGGGTTCAACCCCCAACCCTACACACGTAAATCATATTGAACCTCCATAGGTCATCCACTTATGAGTTAAGGGCACTTGTTGGTTATAATAAAAAATAGCCATAGCTATTCTGCATGGTGTTTGTGATGGAGAAGGAGAGTAGGCACCCCCGTGAGTGGAACTCACAGAAGCACAGAGGTCTGGCCACGTGCATCCCTCAGGGGTTTCCTTCACCTTTGCCCTCCCTCTGGGCCTCCTCACATGGGCTTTCTTTTGTGAACTCTTGTCAGACCATTAATTCCAACCTCAGAGCAAAGAGGGTGGGGCACCCAGCCTTCCCGGAGAAATCATTGAGCTTCTTCTGCTGCTCCTCCCATTCCATCACTGTGCTACATAGGCGTTCTCTGCTGTGGAGCACGCTTGTGCTCTGACACCCCACGAGGATCCTGTGTTTCACTCCCTGCCTCCTACCCTAGTCCTCAGCACCCCAGAGGTCTGGCCTCACCTCCTTTTCCTGCAACATTAGCACTGTGACCCCCATGTCCATCAAGACCACTGTCTTCTGCCCCCTCTTCAGAGGCACAGCCCACACTCTGGGGTCCCCCAGCTTCCTGCCCAGAAGCCTCAAGCCAACCTGTTCTCCAAAACCTGTGTGAAAGCCCATTCATCCTCTCGACTGTCCGCCATTTTTGTACTTCTTCAGAGGATCCTGTTTCCTACCCAGTTAACAGTGCCACTCATTGGGGTCTGGTGCTCTTCCTAGTAAGGACATCCAGATTAGAAGAGAAAGGGATGGGTAAGAAAGGAAGGGTCTCAGCTCAGGTCACAGAATGGGTAGCACTCAACATGGAGTCCCTCGTCAGTAGCAGAAAGCATGTGGTGGCTGGGCCACTAAAGCCATCTGGTGTCAGTGAGGCCTTTATGAGCTCTGCATGCCCAGTTCTCGGCTCCTGACTACCTCCCCTCCTGTACTAAGTGTCACTTCCTGTGTCTTACTCCCTGCATTAGGCATCACTTCCTGTGTCTTACTTCCGGTTCTAGGCATGACTTCCTGTATCTTACTTCCTGTGCTAGGTGTCACTGCTACACTTTCTTTAAAATGGCCTCCCATCTCCAGCAGAACATAGAGTAAGAACCCAGAGAAAGATTGGGCTCAAGAGAAGCTCACAGTACCAAAGATCCTGAACTATTCACCACCAGAGCTGAGCACTCAGCCCGGACCTCAAATCCGCTGTCCCTCACCCTGTTCCCTTGGGCCCTTGGTCCACACAGTAGCACCTTGTGTATCTTCCAGCCTAACTCCTACTTGTGACGCAGGATCCTGTACAAATACATGGTTGTGAGAGCTCTCTCAACAGTGCTGTCCCCAAAACCACACAAACGAGGTCCTATATGTTTTTCTTTATTATTCTTACCAAAACAATAAATCATTATTGTTTCAAATACTGGCTTCAGGGCTGGGAAGATAGCTCAGTAGCATAAGCGCTTGCCTGGCAAGCACAAGGGGCCTGAGTTCAATCCCTGGTTCTGCCAAAAAAATTAAAACAAAACAAAAAAAATCAAATACTGGCTTCTTTCAAAATAGGAAAGCCAGCCTAATACGGGTTGAAAAACAGCATCCAAAGCCAGGAGTGAACCAGTGGTCACCAGAGAACAAGGCAGCCTTCTGGTCCTCACTGACATTCTGCTCCCATGCAGCGGTCTATCATGTTGTCATGGCAGTGAGTCAGCAGGGTGAGGAGGGAGGCCCAGAACCAACAATGAGGAGCAGCTCCTAGATTGTCTTCCCTTCCCTTGGCCCAGGTTAACCCTTCCCTCATCCCCCTCATCCACGCCTGTTTTGTCAGTGCAAGCTGTGCCCCTAACCTAGCCCCATGAAAGCCCCAGCCTCTGTCTCCTCCTCGAGGGGCTCTGGCTTCTCCCTCTGCCAGCCTCCTGTACCTGGCAAGAAAGGATTTCTTTGCTTTCACCTGCTTCTCTTTGGCCCCAAGGAAGGAGCCTTACACTCGTCCTCAGCGTCTGAGCACTAGCCCCCCGTGCTCAGTCACCACGCGCCCTCCAAAATATGTCTGAATGAAGAAGAAATCAAGAGGACAGCCCAAATTGTTCTGGCTGAGAATGACACTGCCAGCCTCACTCCTACTCACCACCTCTGAGGTAAGAATTTTTAAGACACCTGGCCATAGAGCCGCTCCACCTCCTAGCAGGCCTCTCTGCAGAGCAAAGCCCCTCCCCTCCACAGTCCCTGGCACAAGCTGATGATAAGCACCCTGCCCCTGAGATGCCCCAGGATGCCTCATGTGGCTCTGCCCTAGCGACCTTCAGCCCCTAAGCCCGATGTGTTCAGTTTCAGGTCTGTCTTTGATGTTTGGCTGAAGGACACAAAAATAACTGTGAATGCCACTCCCTGAGCCCACATCTATGAAAAGAAGGCACTGGTGACAAAACACCTTCCTCACAGGATTGTTATGAGCACAAATGCGAATGCTATGAAGAGGGAATTAGACCTACATGCGTAGGTCATGTCCCGGCACAGCCATGAGGGGATGGTTACGCTAGCCATGTATGTGTGTGCTATGGAAGAAACTGTGTCCCCCAAAGAGGAAGAGGGGTCCAGGCGTACTGCAGGGCTGCAGGTGATGAGGTGGACAGCGGCCACCACAAGGACCCCGCAGCCAGTCAGTGACGCTGCAGCCGGGTGGTGTGTCCGGGAAGGAGAGATTTCTACTTTCCCTTCAGGAGTGATGAACCCAGGACCGGAAAGAAGAGGCTGAGGGAAGAGAGGCCTAAGCAAGCAGACCCAGCTCTACAACACAGCAGAGGAGGCCAGGGACACACACACACTGTGTCCAGGACCCAGGCGGGGCTCTGTCGCATTCCCTGGGGACAGGTATGGATGCCCATCCGAAGGAGGTCTCCAGGCACATCTAGGTTCTCACCCATGTGTGTAGTTCTTACGCATCACTCTGGCTTCATAAGGCCTTACAGGAAGGAAGCTAAAAGCCTGCTTACTACCTCAAGGGAACGACTTACCACATCGAGCATCCGCCTCCTGACGGTCAGCTCCCTTCACACAATCCTGGAAAACAAAGGCGGAAATGATGCGTGCGGATCCACAACCTCTTCTCCTCCCAAAGAAAAGAAGTGGAGACTCGATTCCACACTGCACAGCAACCTGCCGATCAGGACTTGGTCAGATCAAGGTCACCGATCTAGGTGGCCTTTCTGGACCTGTCCCAAGCCCACTGATGTCACTGTGACACATTCCCAGAGGCAGAGAGCTCTCCAGGGTCTCCTTCTGAGGAGTTAAAACTTCCCACATGAGGTCCATCAGATGGGCAAATGGGGACAACAGGACCGGAAATCAGCCACACAGCTGACGCCCCCTCCGCCTCATGAGTCCACACACCTGCTCCCCCTAAATAAAAATAGCGTCACACAAAGTTGGGATGGATTTGCTCTTGCGCTGTTCTGAGAAACATCCTACACTTCATTTTTTTCTTTTTCTTTTTTTTCATGACTGAGGTTTGAATCCAGGACCTTTGTACTTGAGCTACCTCCCTAGTCCTTTTTTAGTCTTTATTTTAAGGCAGAATCTCAAAAAGTTGCCTGAGTAAGACCAAAGCTTACACTACTCCTGCCTCAGCCTCGCAGAGTATTGGGGTTATGGGTGTGCACCGCCTCACCTGCTCTAACCTGATCTTTGTTAATTCCCCCGTACTGGCCGGGGAAACCTCCCTCTGCTTTCTTGCGGCCCTGAGTCACTGAACCTTCAGTCATCTTTCCCTGGGGTCCTCTCCATCTAGCTCTGGTATCACGTTTCTTTCACCTTCCACTGTTCAGTGTCCTGAGCTTTGGAGCTACCGCCACGGCCGACCATCTCCACACAGGGTTGTCACTCAGGGTTGGCCAAGTGTGTGCCTGGAATTCAGCAGGTGCTCAAGGTGCCTTCGCTGTCGTGTTTCCGTCCTGTTCGAGCTTGTTACTTTTCACCTCTAAGGAGTCTCTCTGACCAGTGCTGTCCAGGCTTTCCCTGCACTCGCTTTTCTCCTCTGACTCACGGAGGCCTCCGTACCAGCAATTCTCTACCTGCACTGAGTCGGGGAAGAGCTCTAGGCAGAAGTCCCCCAGATACAGTGTTATGGCCCTGGCTGTTGTGGGTGAAATGGAGCAAGGAAGGAGGCCCAAGAGTGAAGGAGAAAGCTGTCAGCAGATTAAAACAGCACAGACAGGGGGCCAGGGAGGTGACTCAGTAGAATAAGCGCTTGCCTGGCAAGCACAAGGGCCTGAGTTCAACCCCTGGTTCCGCGAAAAAAAAAAAAAAAAACCAGCACAGACAAGAAAGGATACTGGCATGGAGCAGACCATGGTTGAGGGGATGGGGTACAGTAATTGGGACTCAGAAACACTGGTTGCGTAAGACTTGGGGATCCCTGTGTTTGAGCTGGCTGTGCTTGCTTGCTCGCTTTTTTTTTTTTTTTTTTTTTTTTTTTTTTTGGTGGAACCTGGGATTGAACTCAGGCCCTTGTGCTTGCCAGGGAAGCACTTATTCCACTGAGCCATCTCTCCGGCCTGGTTGTGCTTTCAAAGCAAACGCCTGGACTTCGGGATGAAGAATACAGTGACCAACACCACCACTGGCTGAGTTGAGCAGAAAACTGAAGTCTTAAGAGATTTAAGAGGAACACTGGGTGTGATAAGTGTGGGACGATGTAAGAGGTCCCAGCAGGGACGCCAAGGAGTGACCAGGGAAAGGAGTCAGCAACGCAACAGCTGGGTTAGGGTCTCCCTCTTGGGACCGATGCACACGGCCCAAAGGCATGAAAACATGGGCTCACCTGGTGAGAACACCAAGAATGGAAGAAGGGCCAGAATGAAGCTGCGAGAACCTCAGCTGTTACAGCCAGAGACTGAGGGGGCGGTGGGGAGGGCTGGCATGCTGGAGTCCCCAGAAAGAGGAGAGGAAAACATCGAAGAGGAGGATTCAGTGAAGCCAAGGGAAGAAACAGCCCGGAGGCCTTCGTGTGTCCAGCAACACAAGGGATTATGTAAGAAAAGGCCAAAGCGCTCCGTCATCCTGATGATGTCTAAGTAACCCGAGTCTGACCCCTGTTACTCTTCCAGATATTGGGGAACAGCTCCTCCAACAAAACTCCTGTCCCCTCGCGCAGGGCCAGGTTCCTTTTCCCCAGAAGCTAATCCTTGCCTGAAATCCGAGGCCTTGAGCCCTGGGGCGCACACGCCACGGTCCTTCACTCTCCACCAAGTGCTCGACCTTGCTGAGGAGCTGCGACACCTGCGCTGCCCACTCGCCCTTGTCGGCTTTGTTGTCCACAGCGCAGTAGCGGCGTTCATCACTTCCAACCGCGGCTTTAAGGAACTCCTGGCTTTCGAGGTAATCCTGCAGTGAGTCGCCGCCCAGCTCCTCCTTCCTGGTGAAGACGGTGAGGACGTGCCTGCTGGCCTCGGCCCCCAGCTCCTGCCGGATGCCCCGGAAGGTCCGCTCGTCCTCCGCGGTGTAATTTCCGATGGGCACCACCACGAGCAGCGCGTGGACGCTGGGAGCCGCGAGCGCCAAGCACAGGTCCATGTGGGCTGGCCTGGCTTCAGCAGGGGCCAACGAGAAGATGTCAGGGGTGTCGATGACCACGACCTGCCTCCCTAAAACAGCCGCACTCGCTCGCTGGCACCTCACAGTCTTGTGCTCAGAGCCGAACCCGGAGGCAAAAGCGGCTCTGCCCAGGATGGTGTTCCCTGTCGCGCTTTTTCCTGCTCCCTGTTTCCCCAACAATAGGAGCCGCAGGTGGGATACACAGCAGCCCTTCTCCGACAAGGACGGACTCCCCTGAGGGCAGCTCCTGCTGTGTCTGCCGGGACAAGAAGCGACATCAGGGATCTGCTCACACACAGGTGGGTGAGGGGTGAAAGAAGGCCCTCTCCCTTCTCCCCCAAAGAGTTGGAGCTCCTGAAGTCCTAACTCACTGAACTGCGTTGTTTCCCAGTATCTCCCTGTGCGCTTGTCTCTAAAACAAACCCCCTTGTTCTTTTGAGCTTCCTCGCCATTCAGAAGCACCAGGAGTCGGCTGTCAGCTGAAGGGACTCTCATAACTAGGGATCAAATAGTACCAAAAATACAGACTCCGCTGGATGCTGTGGTAGGCAGCTGTAGTCCCAGCTATGCAGGAGGATGAGGTGGGAGGATGAGGAGCCCAGGAGTTCAAGACCAACCCCAGCAATATAGCAATTAAGACCACTTTTTTTTTCTTTTTCTTTCTTTTTTTTTTTTTTTTGTTTTGTTTTGTATTTTAGGGAAGGGTCTACAGAGTGTTCAGGGTCTCACTACTAGATCAGAATTACAGTGATCCACCTGTTTACAGCCTCCTGAGAACTGGGATTACAGGCACATGCCACCACACCCTGCCTCAATTTCTGCTCGCCCCGAGGACTGGGCCAGCACAGCAAGCCCGGGATCGAACCCCAGGCCTCTTCTGAGCTATTTGGCCAGTCCTAAAACCACTTCTTAGAACAATTTAAAACGTTTAAAATAACACCAGGCTTATCTAGATTGAAAAATCAGAATCTCAAAGGAAGAGGCTGGAAATCTGTATTTGTCAAATGCCACGTGATGGCGGTTAGCCAAGTTTGGGAAACACTGTCATGTGTAGTCAAGTGACAAGGTGGACACGCTAGCAAGCATGAAATGGGATGCACAGGAGACACTAATGTTGCTGCAGGAAGCAGCGAGCCAGCGTTTTCGTGGGAGTCAAGCCTATCGCTGCCTGGGGGGCGCTGATGAGGAGCACTGAGGGCAACACGGGCTGAGAGCTGGCCTGCAACCCTCCCCCCACCGCTGCTCCCAGGCTGAGACCCCAGGGGGCTGCTGAGCCACTCCAGCCTCGGTGTCCTGTGCATGACATGGAAGTGGTACCATGTGCTTTAAGGGGGGGTGGTGCAGGGGAGACAGCTCAGTGGAATAAGTGCTTGCCTGGCAAGTGCAAGGTCCTGCGTTTGATCCCTGGTACCATCAAAAAAAAAAAAAAAAAAAAGTTTTGGTGTTTTTTTTTTTTTAGTACTGAGGATTCAACTTAGGGGCTCTGAGCTACATTTCTGGTCATGTTTGTCTGCTTTTTTTTTATGTTTCATTTTGTTTTGTGGGTATATGTGTGTATGTGGCAGGATATTGTGCAACAGTGCAGGTTAGCCTCAAATTGTCAATTCTCCTGTCTCAGCCACCAGATTAGCTGGGATCAGAAGTAGGTGGCACTATGCACAGAATGTACAGGCTTCTAAAAGTATCCTTGAAAGCTGGGCAAGGGGCACATACTTATAATCCCAGCTACAGGGCCGGGGAGATGGCTCAGTGGAAAAAGCGCCTGTCTTGCAAGCGCAAGGGTCTGAGTTCAATCCCCAGTGCACCGCCCCCCTCCCCGCAAAAAAAAAAAAAAAAAAAAAAACCAGCTACATGAGCAACTGAGGCAGGAGGAACACAAGTTCTAAGGCCAGCATAAGTAACGTAGGGAGATCCTGTCTCAAAATACTTTTTTATTTTAGATAAAAATGGAAATGCAGCTGAGTGGTAGAGCACTTGCCCAGCATACTTGAGGTCCTGGATCAGTACAAAAAAGAAGTTTTGGAGCTGGAGAGATAGCTCAGCAGCCTAAGCACCTGCCTGGCAAGCACAAGGACCCAGGTTCGATCCTTAGTACTCCATTCCATGCCAGCCCCAGAGCCCTGGGTGCACTGTGCCAGCCGCCAAAACTGGGAGTGGTGGCACGCACCTGTAATCCCAGCACTGGGGAGGCTGGGACAGGAGGATCACTACGAGTCTGAGCTACATAGCAAGACCCTGTACCAAATTTATTTGTAAATAAATAATAATCAAGAAAAGATTTTTTAAAAGTCTCAAATAAGATGATATATATAAAAAAGACTTGTACAGCAGACATATGAAAAACTCGCCAACATCCCAAGTGAGCAGGCAGTGTAAATCAAAGCCACAGTAAGGAATCACCACACCCCAGCAATAACGGCTAAAACAAAAAAATAAAAGATAACAAGGAGTGGCAAAGACGGAGAGAGAGCGGAAGCCTCGCACTACTGATGGGGATGCAAAACTACAGTCACTATGGAAAGCAGCGTAGAGCTCCCCCGTGAAGTTAAGTAGAATTGCCCCACGATCCAGCCACCCACTCCTGGTGACACCCCCGAAGGAAATAAAATCAGTGTGTCGGAGGGACCCGGCAAGCCCATGGCTGTGACAGCACAATTTGGCAGCAGCCAAGAAATGCAACCCAAATGTCCATCAGCTGATGAATGGATTTTCTAAAAGCTGGTACCTGTACACAGTGGATACTACTCAGGCATAAAAAAGAATGCAACCTTGACATTTGTGACATCAGTGGAATGTCATGTTAAGTAAAAACAGCCAGGCACCAAGAGACACAGACCACAGGATCTCACTCTGACACGGACAGAAGAGCTGACCCCACTGGAGCTGAGGGTGGAGCAGGAGTGGGCAAGGCTGGGGACAGGTTGGGCTGCAGCAAGGAGCCTGAAGTGCCGTGCAGAGCAAGTGTGTGCTACAGATGGTGCCTGCGTCATCCATGCCAGGGGCAAGAGGAAAGGACACTGAATGTTTTTGTCTTAACGGAATGGCAGGGGCTGGGGATTTGGCTCAGCGGTAGAATGCTTGCCTAGCAAGCTGGAAGCCCTGGGCTCAGTTCTTGGCACCAAAAACAAAACAAAACAGAGAGAGAGAGAGAGAGAGAGAGAGAGAGAGAGAGAGAGAGAGAGAATGAACTGGCAAATATTTGAGGAGAGAGTTACATTTCACCTGACTGAAACAATTTCACCTGACTGAAACACTTCACCCTGTTACTATATACAATGTTACTTATAATTGCACCTAACTTTTTGGTACTGGAAATCGAACTCAGGACTTGCGTTTGCCAGGCAGGTGGTTGTGCTGAGCTACATCCCTGGTCCCATCTAATTCTTTAAATCACCTTATGAATTCCTTGTCTCATCATTCAGTATTAGCTCAAGTGACCCATGAGCAAAAAATCTGCTTCTTGTTGTGCTGGCCCAGACATCTTAGCTCCAGAGAGAGGAATGCTTCCACCAGGAGCGAGAACAACGAGCCCACAGAACCAGAAGCCAAGCCACAAAGCACTAACCCTCTTCTTCAAACATGGCCCAAGAGGACCATGGGTCAAGGGACCTGGCAAAAGCTTCCTGGGACATAGGATTTTTCTCACACCTAAGGACATCCCAACCCACAGAGAAAGTGCTCAGAGAGGCTTGCAGAGCCCCCTCACAGGAAGGACCTTAGTTCCAGCCCAGCAAGTCACCATCAAGAGGAAGAGTAGGGCTAACAGGTAGCCTTAATTCCAGGTGAAATTGGAGTATGATTTCAGGAGAAGTGTTTCCAACCCTCAGCGTCTGGGCAATGGGACCCTAATTGCAAGGGGCTGGCTTAGAAGACCAGACATGGAAAATCAGTGTCCCTGTGCCCCGCTTCTCAACAAAGCAGCAGGCCCAATATTGCCCACTGACATCTTCCTAGGGACCTCTCTGTGGCACTGTCCCAAAGTTAGAAGGTCCTAAGAAGACTCCTTCCCGCCTTCTTACTCCTCCACTGTCCCATGCCTTCCTCTCAGCCCACTGCTGCTGCTGCTGCTGCGCCACTGCCTCCCCCTCCTCCTCCTCCTCCTCCCTCTCCTCCCTCCCCTCCTCCCCCTCCTCCCTCCCCTCCTCCCCTTCCTCTTCCTCCTCAGGTTGAGCACCCTCCCCCCTTGCACCTCCTCTGAGGAAAGCTTCCTCACGTGGCTCCTCCCGTGACTGTGCCCCTCCAGCCCAGCATGCCCACATGGGCTGGGGTGACACACTGAACCAGAAGGAACACTCCACAGAGCCCTGAAATCCAACCTGGCTTCCATGGATCCAGCCCATGACCACCCCACATACATGTCCCAGCATACCACATCCACACTGCATGCTCGGGCACCTGTACACGTACCTCAGGTCTGTCCCCTGGCCTCCCGGTGTCTCAAGACCTTCACACTTGGCCCCGTCCTGTCCCTCCATCCTCTGGGCAGTGAAAGCAGTGACGCTCAAGAGGGCCTGGAGCTTTGAGGCAAGGACAGCAGGAACCACACGATCTTCAAGGCCTGAATCCCCGTCGGAGGATTTCTAAGTGTGTCATGGAAGGAAGAGGCTTCTAGAAACTGTTTCACAACAACAGAGGCACAGTGCAGTCACACAGGAAGTGCAGGGTCAGATGGGACTGAAGGAGGGGACAGGCCACGCCATCTTCCCCAGGCAGCTCTGCCCTTTGGGGTCACCGCACAGCCACTCACAGCAGGCCACGCCATGCCGTCCCCATGACCTGCGCTCTCCTGGTCCACCCAAGGTCTCCCCTCTCTGCCCAACGGTGTCCCTAAAAGCTGCATTCTGAGGCCAGAGCCACCAAGAAGAGCTGCCTCCGGGTGAATAGTAGGTTCTCCCCATGGAGCAGAATTCTGAACGGCACAATCTGAGGTCTGTTTGAGAGACCATACTGTCCGGAGGCCCAGTCTGAACTTCCCAAGGAGGTTCAGCACTTTACCTGAGAAAACCCATACCGTGCACTTTGTTTCCTGTCAGAACCACCTCTGAGTGCACAGTGCTAGTGCAAAGTACACTGTGGCGCTCCGGACTCCCAGAGCTTTCCCGCCCTGCGACACAGGGAGCACGGGACCGGGACCTCAGACTCCTCCCACTTTCTGTCTGCCGGGTGCTGCCAACTTCTGGCCCTTCCCCCAACTCAGGCTTCACTGCCATGGTGGGAACAGTTTGCTCTGGGACCCCAGGCTCCCTCCCCAGGGCCCCCACACACTGCAGAGGCTGGTGACCTTGAGCTCAGACTGGCATTTTCAGAGCCCTCCCAACTGCTAAAGTGTGGAGGAGGCTGTCCCGTCCCCGGCTGTCTTCCCATGCCAGCCTTGAGGACGCCTTTCCCAAGACACCAACCTAAAGCAGAGCCTGGTTGGGCCGGGATGGCCCAGAAGGGCTACTGGGACACCAAAGCCACATTTTAATGGGAAAACTGAGAAAAACTTCTCAGCCCCCTCTTACCCCTCAGGGAAGAGGGTGGGGCACACCTCCCTCCCTGGGCACCAGGGCAATGCACACGAAACCAACGCAGTGCAACAGTGAAGCCAAAATCTTAGGCCAGACCAGCACAGCTTCTCCGGAGAGGAGCCCAGGCCACACACAGAGGTCAGGCCCCAGCAAGATGCAATTCACTCAGTGCAAACAGGGCAGTGATCAGAGAGAAGAAAAGCACTCAGAAATAAAATATTAAGCATCTGAGGAGAGGTCAGAGTAAAACCCACGCTCTGGTAACTGCGCTATGACTTAGCAAGGTGATTATTTGCTGAGTTGACTATTTTGCAAAATGATCTTTGGGCAAATGAGCTCTCAGCATTGATTTTTTTCTGTGGAAGGCAGGCTGCCTCGGTTCCCGGCCGGCGGAGGAAGAGTGGGGTTCTGCTGCCCCCTCGTGGCTGCTGGAGTAAGGACAGGAGCCGAGCGCTTAGGCTTCCCCACCCCACAGACCCCAGGCTCTCGGCAGGGGTCGAGGCAGAGGAATTGGACCTCTGGAAACCAAAGACCCGGGACCCAAATAAGGAAGGGCCTCCTGAACCAGGCCCTGAGGCATCGAGGCACGAAGTTTCCTCACTCGGAGGTCGCAGGCCAGCCCAAACCTGCCCTCGTGAAAAGCCGCGTTGCCTGCGAGAGGTACTCACAGCGCCCCGGAGCAAGGGGAAATGCTGCCGACCCTACTGTCAAGAAAGTAGTTGGACATTAGTGGGACAGGTGGCGGAGGGTCCCTAAGTACCACGCCCTGCCAGCTGAGCAAAGAAACAGAGACGCCAGGCTATAAGACACTTACAATCACTTACCAGGTTGCAACCCCGAAGCAATCCCTCAGGGCGCAGCAGCACCTTAAGGGGCACAGCCCTGGCCCCTGGCCGTGGAGCCCGAGGGCAAGGCACACAGCATCCCGGCTGCCAGGGCCTCCAGCCCCACGACATCAGGAGAGGAAACACCCTCCCGCCTTCGGTCCCGACCCGGCTCAAATTCAGAATTTATTTTTGGTGAGTTCCTCTCCCGAGGAAACACTGACCATCTGAAAAGGTCGGAAAGACGTTCTGTGATTCCAAAGTTAACTGCTAAGTAAAATGTTGACAAGCATCACAAATACCCAATTCCCTGGACCCCAAGAGTAGCTCACCCAAGGGCAACCCCAAGAGTAACCCTTGGATACTAAAACTGCGCCCAAACTCACACTCGAGACGGAGCCTCTGTGGCATACCCACCTTCTTGCTTGAAGGGTAATTCTCCACACATCTACTTTACAGTAAATCCTTCCATTGTGCTATGAAGGGCACAAAGATCCCCCGACCAGGGACCTGCGGGTCCCGATCCCGCTGCACCGGGGACCAGCCTCCAGGCGACCCAACAAGGTGCCAAGACAACCAAGGGAGTAAAATAAAGGTAAAGCCACGAACTGCCTGTTTGCCACAGCAAGTACTGCGGTGGAGAGGATGGTACGGTCCCCGGGGGAGCGGAGGTCCGTGTGCAAATTTGCCTGCGTGCCCCTCCCCCACCTCCGTCCCCCCCCAACTCCCCCTCCCCCCGTGAAAAATGTCAGGCTGAGAACAGCGGGCGCTGTCCAGGGTGCTGAGAACAGGCTGCTGTGTGCTCCGAAATGGGCCCATCAGGAGAACCAGGTAGAGGGTGCTGCAGGTGTCTGAGACGGAAAAGAGGAACCCCTGAACTAATACAGTGACGGGGACGTGGGAGGGAAAAGGAAGATATTTGCAATGTATTTAGGAAATAGAGACAGTAAAGGAATTTCAAAGAAAGATGAACTCAGGGCTGCGATTCCGCCACGTGCCAGTGGTCATGTTGACGAGAATGCTATTCATAGCGCGGACAGCTTTCTTATTTTTAAAAATATTATCACACGTTGTTCCCCTTCAAACATGGAAAATGAGTGTGTTTACTACAGTTTGGACAGATGGCAGTAAAGTGTCTGGTGACTAAATTTGTGTATTTTGACAACTTTCTGATGGAATTATGCGTCTTATTCAAACACAGCCCATGTTTATTATAAGGTTATTAGTTATGAAATAGCCCAGGCTGAGCTTGAACTTTTGATCCTCCTGCCTCAGCCTCCCAGAGCGCTGGGATTACAGGTCTGTACCACCGCAACTGACCCCACTTTGCATTATTTTGATCTCGCTTGTTCTTCTGAGCCACTCCCAGGACCGGGCTGCTGACCACAGAGCTGGCTTAAACAGAAACGCCCTGCCCTCGAGAAGGCGTGAAGCAGCGCGGCTGAGCTCAGGTAGCGGATCCAAGCTTCGGAAGCACACTGATCTCTGAGCCTCACCGAGGCCTGACTTCTCTGCACACGGCCTGCACCGCCCCAAGAGGCCCAGCAGGGGGAGCTGGGGAGGCTGGTCTGCCTCCTCCTGGGTTGCTACCAGCCTGTACAAAGCCTGCTTTTTTAGTCGCCAGCTGTCATCACTTGGGCATTGGTTTTTCCTGGATGAGATTTCTGATCTGAGTTCATAAACAGTCTTGGATCATTTTATTCTACCACATGCTACACCATGAACTGAGCCCCCACTCCCAGTCACAGGGGTCAAGAGACCAGGGAGCCCAAGTCCTGAAGGTACTTTGACTTTGGTCCCTCAAAGAGGACAAGACCCTGGGACAGAGACCAACTGCCTGTCTAGCCAGAGATTGCACGGGGTCCCCCACGCCCACCTGCTTCCTGTGCAGAGGCCGCCAGCCAGCCCCAACCCTACCACCTGCACAAACGAGCAAAACTCCTTCTCCTGGGCAGCAGCGATCTCGGAACCAACTCAGTTGCCCACCACGGCTCCTTGGGGTCTGCTCAGCCTCTCGCTGGAGGCACCTTGGCTGAGGAAATGCGAGAGGTCACAGCCGTCATGACTCCAACCACAGGGGGCTGACACGGTGCACAGGCTGGACGGGAAGATGTTAAGGAGGTGGGGACAGAGGGAACAATGTAGGATCAAGCGCCTGTGCTGTCCTGGTCACTGTGATCAGCAGGGGTCCCTCGCCTGTAAGTTCACACGCCTAGCCTGCCCCGACTGGCAAGGCCAACCCCTTCCATGCAGGGAGCACCCCAAGGCCTCTTCGTGCTCCTCCTCTCCCCTCCGCTCCTCTCCGGTCCTGGCTGATGAGCGCCCTCCCAGCTCCTGAAGCCCACTGCGAAGGTGGAGCCAGATCCCCACAGTGACTTCTGCTCTTTGTCTTCTTCTTGGCCAGTGGATGAAGTGGGACAGTGTGGAAATGATCAAACAAACCAGCAGGTATCTCCCGGGGTTGTGCCTTCCTCCTTGCTTGGCTTTGTCAAAACCTGATCATTACCTGGGCGCCCTGGAGTCTGTGGAGGCTCTGGCCCATGTGCTGTCCACAAAGCCCCTGCCCCTCCTTTATAGGCACCGGTGGACTCTGCGCTTTTCACCTGGAGAAAGGGACAGAGTCAGGCAGGTTGGTGGTAGTACCTCTAACAGCACTGATTCCCAGGTAAGGATGGAAGGAGATTTGAGACCCAGAGGGGGAAAGGAGGGAGATTTTCTCCAGTTCTGTTCCCTCTGCCCAGCAGTACTGGCTGGAGAAGAAAGAACAGAGCACATGACCTTGGTCCTGAGAGGGGGGCTGCAACCCACTTCCCAGCAGCATAGTGATGTGGGGCAGAGCAGGAGGTGACAGTGACAGAAACCAGCTCCCAAGTGCCCACACGCAGATAGCAGGTACTGTCACAAATTTTCCACACTCCCAGCTCAGCATGGAAGCTGCAGGCAAAGGTGACTTCCAAGGGCTGCATGGGCAGTGCCAAAGGACAAAGGAGGAGCTTCTGTGGCCCTGGGCCCAGAAGCCCAGCGGTGCCCCATCATGGTGGCACCGTGGGACAATCTGGTATCACCACAGGGCTCTGATCCTCATGTCCAGGTGCCCCAGTAGAGAGAGGGCTTCTAGGTACACAGAAATAGGGTTGCCTGAGGGACAGGCACGCGCATTTCCAGCAGACCCAACGAGGTAGATTTCAAAGGCCACCTGGATTCCTCGCCCAGGCAATAAAGCAAAGCCTGTAGTTGTCTTCATCTTCTTTTTTATTTTTTACAGAATATATTCACTGGGGGAAAGAAAACTCCTGTCCAAGAGAGGGACAGGAGTGGAGCCCTGAGCAGATGGTCCCTGGGAAGCTGTCTCTTCCAGGGACTTTTTTTATAGGGGAAAACTATGTGGTGAGGCAGGTCCAAGGTGGTGGAGAAGACACGGGAACTCGCTTAGGTGGGCACGAGGTGGGACGAAACTGTGGTCAGCCAATGAGATTACAAGCACCATTGCTCAGGTAAAATTGATTAAATCCAGGACCAAATGAGGAAGCGAGTCATGTAGCAGGCAGGCATGACTACGGGACAGGGTTTCTTCCTGTTGGGGGTTGGGCTAGTGACTCATTTGGGCTCTTTCAAGGTGATTGATACTTATTTAGAATATCAATCCCTGAAGCCCATCCCTAGGGAAGTAGGTAGCTGTATTTGTTTCCTCTTTTGTCCT